AAGGCCATTCCGGGCTGGCAGTACTCTATGCCCTGATGCCATTTGCTGCCCTAGTGACTTCAATGTCACACATCTTCACTTCAGGCTGAAGTCATGTTTCCACAGAGGGACAACCTTGTTAATTTCCTGCTGTCTCAAGGCTCTGGTTGGCAGTGTGTGTTTTATTTTTGTTTAAAAACCAAGAGGAGATAATTTATTATTTTTTTTTCAGGAATGTGGTTTTTATTTTTTCCACGCTATTTATTGGATATTGAATGTCGGGGCAAACCCTTAGGTGCTGGAATAGCCACAGATAAATTGAGAGTTGGAGGAAACCTGAGAATGGGAGGGCCTCTGGGAGTTCTGCTGGGGCTCTTCCAGCCTCTGGTGGGTCCACACAGAGCCTGTATCCTCAAGAAAGGAAGGGTGACGGCACCACCAAGGATGGACAAGAAGGACATGCAGAGGGGACCTGGCTGACGACAGTTGCTGGCTTCAGGAACTGTCACTGTTGAATGCTTCCAAGGGCTCCAGCAAGAAGTGATGCCAGGCCCATGGTCAAGAACTCCTAGAGAGCACACAGCAGACATTGGAAGGTGTGCTGCTAGGACACTTGCCCTGCTATCAGCAGAGCCCTGGAAACCTGAGTCTGCAAAGGCAAGATGGGGCTGGGGAGCCACCACCGGAAAACCTACAGCCCCAAATAATGTACTGTGATAGGACAGCTTGGGCTATTTTTATTCCCAGTTCAATACATACAGAGGAATTACTGCCATTCAGGCGTGCTAGCCAGAGTGCGACCCAGACACAGGGTAAGGCCCTGGGGTCAAGGGCACTTGCAGGCATCTGGGTGTGTGGAGAATATGCATGGCTTCACTCCTAAGAGCAGTGACGCGCATGTTCAGGAGTGTACATGGTTTACCACACATTTCCCAGTACATATAGGCATACCCCTTCATACATGGCTCCACACGACATTAACGTTACATGTCAGGAACACCTATCACAGAGACTCAATCGCTCCTGAAATCTGCTACTTTGTCCTATCAGCATTTCCCTCTAGGACTGTTATCCCTCCCCCCCCCCCAGTTTATCACATAGCTATAATCATTTCACCCTCCCCGAGTCCTGCAATACAGGTACCAGACACCCCATTTTCCAGGTGACCACCTGTGGGAGTGGCGAGAAACAAGCAAACAAGAAAATACCCTCCGCTGCCACTTTTTAAAAAGCACTTTTTTTTAGCATTTAGACTTTTACATTCTAGTCCCAACAGGAAGAAGGGCTCCATAGAGATCTATACGCCCACCCCCACACATATGTCCCTCCCACCCTAACCCCTACACATGCACATTGCCTCCTTGGCCTTCTCATCCAATAAAATCAAACCCAGTCATCTCTTCCTTCCATCACAGCTGGATGTCCCCTCCTATGGAGTAGTCCTACTGTCTGAAGTTGGCTATGGAAGGCTGAGGAAATGGACAGATCTGAAGGGCAGAAGCCTGGCTGTGGCTGGCCTGATTCCACAAAGAAGGATCCAGGCCAGAAGGGTGTGGAACTGAGCACTGAGTTTCTGTGGATTGTTGGAGGATTAGGTCTCAAAGTCCTGGCCAAGTGGGACACAAAGACAGGATCTTTGTGTTTCAGGGAGAAAAACTAAGGTTTTCTTTGGTGATGGTCTTGATCTTTCAATACCCAGGTAAACACTAAACCTAGAACCTTGTGCTTGGTTGACAGCACTCTACCACTGAGCCACATCCTTAAGTCTCCATCCCTCTTGCTTGTTTTAAATATCAACCAACCCAGTTCCCTCCTACAAAGCAAATGTGGTTTATGAGGATGATCACTAAGACCTTAAGTTCACCATTTCTTTTCTTTTCTTTTCTTTTCTTTTCTTTTCTTTTCTTTTCTTTTCTTTTCTTTCCTTTCCTTTCCTTTTCCTTCCTTCCTTCCTTCCTGCCTTCCTTCCTTCCTTCCTTTCTTTCTTTCCTTTTTCTTTTTTTCTTCTTTCTTTTTTTTTTTTTGCCAAATTGAAATCTAAATAGTCATCATCCATCCAAACAGAAGCAGAAGACACTCCACCTCCCAGTTTTCTTTCTTCTTACCTGCAGAAAACACGTTCCAAGAGGTTCCTTGGCTGTCTGGAACCGCAGACAATGCTGAACTCTCTATACACCATTCCCCACTTCCACGCATGTATATTCTAGCTAAACTCTCTATATGTCATGCCCCACTGCATGACATATCATATCCTGTATACTTAGAATAAAGTAGAGGCTATACAGAAGGCACAATTAAAGACCAACAACAGTAATTATTAAATAAAACAATAATGACATCATATTGGTAAAAGTTACTTAAAAGTCCTGAGTTGCTTTTTTTTTTTTTTTTTCTTATAAAAATTCCTGGGAGCAGCCTTACCCGGCCACAGAAGAGGACAATGTAGCCACTTTTGATGAGAACTGATAGACTAAGATCAGAAAGGAGAGGAGAATCTCCCCTATCAGTGGACTTGGGGAGGGGCATGCATGCAGAAAGGGGAGGGAGGATGGGATCGGGAGGGGAGGAGGGAGGGGCTTATGGGAGGATACAAAATGAATAAAGTGTAATTAATAAAAAATTTTTAAAAAGTTAAAAAAAATTCCCAAGTAATGGATCTTGGGTAGCTGAGACAAAGGAAGGCAGAACCATGAACAAGGAGGCAATTGTGGTATGTCTGTTCAGCAGTGTGCTGGGTATAGATACCATAGAGTCAAACTTCTTCAGAACATGGTGTGCCCTGGATAAACATCCTATCTAGTTCAGTGAGAGTCAGATTCCGTTATAACTTTGGGTCACTTAACTGGTACTGGCAGTGGGGACACATCGTTTGCAGCAAGGATGAAGCCAGAGAACATCACACCAAGCAAAATAAGCCAGAAAAGCATGTGTGATTCCATTGCTCTATGAGGCACCTAACAAAGCCACATTCAGAGCAGAAAGCAGAGTGAGGGTTGCCAGTCTGGGGCAACGGCAATGAGGACTGGGTGTTTTAAGAGGTCCCTTGCCTCACATCTGCAAGAGGAAAAGATTTCTTCACATTGCATAGACAACATTGTCCACTTAAAATAATGGAAATGGTCGTTTTCATGTTGATTACATTTTACTACAATTAAAAATTTTAAACTGAAAAAAGAAATGTTCAGCCTAATGAATTTTTCATAAATGTGTAGATTTGGGGCTGGAAGAGAGAAGCAGAAGTCACTTAACCCAATGATCCTCAACTATTTATTGACAGGAATCCACAATAAAGGCTAAATTTTATGTCATGATCCAGCATATGAATGCCACAGCATGGACGCACATGTATATTTGGCTAGCAACACATATATACACAAATATATACCTAAGTAAAAATATAGAACTAAAAAGGCACAAGAAACACTAGCCATTATATGAGGTGTGTTCTGTCTTTCTTTTTATTTTCTTTTTTTTTTTTTACCTACTCTGTCCTGTTCTAATTTTATTTTTAAAATATCAATTACATTCTACAAAATTGATTTCATTATCTACTAGTTAAATTTCAGCCTGCAGTTCAAAAGCCCTGCTTTGGAATAACCTCCACACTAGCACAAAGATTAGGTCTAATGTCTCTCTGCTGGGTAGTCATCCAGCCTCCTCCCGAATGCCATCAATGATGGGGATCTCACTTCTCACAAGGTAGCAGGCTCTTTGATGGATCCAACTAGCAGGTAAAGCTCCCAAGTACTTCCCAGTTGTTCCAGATGTGGCTGGGTGGAGCTGGGGAAAAGAAGCCTGGGACCAGCCAGAGGCATCTCTGCAGCTTGGAAGGGACCAAGAACATAGCTCCATCCACAAGCAGGAGCAAGGTGGGCTGGAGGCAAGGGCAGAGGGCTGGAAGTCTGTGGCCACCTTCTGGCTCTATGCATTGACCTGCCCCCTGCCTTTGCTTCCCTCGAATCGCTGTCATTATTTCCACATCTGGTGCATGATCTCATCACCCAAGCACCCCTGTGAAGGAGAACTCTCCTCCCAGAGGGACCTTAGGGGAGGCAGATTCCCCCACACTCCATCTCCACCCTTCACCCCTCAGAACTCCAGCAGACCATCACCCGGTCATCCCATCTGCTACCCGGTTGGGGTTGGGACATGGGGTATCCCTGCCTGGGGTCTTCAGTCAGGGTGACCGACCCATCCTCTAAGGCATTCCCAGGAACTGTCCAGGTTAGGGACAATGAGGCTCCTCCACACCTGACTGTTCCTGGGAGATGTAAAACAAAGACAGCACTGCCACGTGGGCACAGAGGTATCCATTGGACAGCAAAGCTCTGGGCCTCTGGATGAAAAAATGCTAAAACTCCTGACTGGGGCGGTGGGCTGAGCATGAAGGGGGCTAGCCGTGACTGGTCAAGGATGGGAGAACCTGGGTGTGGCAGTCCTGAAAGCTTGCATCCTCTGCCTTAAGCCAGTTGCAGAGCCAGTTAGAATTAGGCTGACCTCAGGGTGGGGCGGGGCAAGTGAGAGGGGATGATCTCACTGTATCCTTAGGGCCGGGAGAAAAAGTAAGACTGCACAGAGCTAGAGGAGAAAGAAAAGACAGTGCCGAGAAACAAAAACAACCACAGGAAGAATAGATGAAAATGTCAGAAACAGAGCTTCTTCAGCTAGAGTGGGGTCTTCAGTCAAAGTAGCCCCAGAGGAAGCTGAGCTCCAGTAAACCTTTCCCAAAAGCAGAACATTTTTTTTTAATGCAGAAATAACTCAGCATGAACCTCCAACATGTCCCCCTCATTTGGAACAAAAATGATGCCCCGAGCCCACCAACACCCCTCTTCAAGCACCATCATTTTGCCTTACCCTGCTTCCTCCCAGGATTTGACAAAGTTTAATCGGCTGAGCGAAACCAAAAGCAACACAATAGACACCAGACCCCTTCGTTCCTCCCTCCGCTGTGGCTGCTGTTTTGTTTCTTCCTTTTGTCTGAAAAGCCCTTCGATTGTCCGCATCTCAGTTCCACTTACCTGCAGTCCGGATTCCAAAGCGAGCTGTTCTCTTCTCACTCCTTCAATTAGTGGTACCCTGGGCTTCTCTCAACATCAGCACCACTGCTGGGCTCTCGCCATGACATCACCTCTGAGCTCCCTGATTGGCTAACAGTGGGTTGCTTGGCAATTGGACAGTCTCCTCTGGTGGAGCAGGGATTGCCTGAGTGAGTAACTCTTAGCAGGCTGGGGAGTGGAGGATGATGTAAGACAAAGAACCTGCTCCCCCCTCCCACACCCCGTTGCCTGTGGGGCTGGGGAAGCAGAGGGGGGTGAGGATGGCCAGGAGGCAAGAAAGGGTGTGGTAGGTGGAGGTGTAGGCACAGCTTTCTAGCTAGGGGAAGAATGAATGATTTGAAGAATCTTTAGCTCCTCAGATCTGGGGGAGAGAGAATGTGGAATCTAGAAGAGTAATAGGAAAAGCAGATGAACCCTAAAAATAGCCCCCTGAGGACTTGGTGCCTGTTCCCAGCTCTGGTCAGAAGAGCTGGCACATGCAGGGGATGCTTTAGATGGCAGGGGAAAGCTGCAGAAACCCCAGGTGGAGGTGCTGGGGCGTCACCTCACATAGGCATCCCAGGAATACAGGGTTTCCCTCCGGCCCCCCTCAAAAACATGTTGCACAGTCTCTCTTGCAGAATCTACCTAGCACTAACGGGTCTTCACAGCCCACTCGGTGAGCCTGGGCCAATCAGAGGGAGCCACAGGTAGGAAATCAAACTGGAGAACATTTCACCAGGGGCACTCCTAAATGTGGTGGAGTCCCGTGGGGCGGAGATGGGTCCCTAGTGGTAGCATTCCTCAGGGACTGAGAGGACCCTCTATATGGATTCATCAGCTGTCCACACATTGTCTGTCAGCTGCAGACAGCAGGTGCAGTGGGAAGGACAAATGCCCTGTGGAGCAAGATATGTCTTCTGAGTGCCTCTCCTCCTGAAGCCCCTTTCCGTGCATTCTCTGTCCTCTGAACTACCTCCCAGCCTTGCGTCAGCCCCTTTTCTTAGAAGCGTGTAGCATTTGTAAAATATGCAAAATGTAAAGATCACTCTTGACTACTCGAAAGGATATAGCTTAGTGGTGTCATGCAGCCACCCAGTAAAGGTGGCCACCACGAAGCTTCATGAGAGAGGGATCTTTCATCCCTCCTAACTTTCATCCCTAACTTCAAACCGTAAATCCACTTTCCCTCAACCTCTGTCTCCTGCACCGCTCACTAAAGATGCCTGTCCTGCATGCCCAGTGTAAGAGAACCGTGTTCCTCCAGCCACATGTTTTAAGATTTTTGAGGCTCATCTTTTCTAAAGAAGGTTTGGAAGGTTTGATTGACTTCCGGCGGCGGGGAAGAAGCGCTCATTCGCTACCAGACTGAGAACACACATATCACCTTGAATTCAGCCCAGGCTTCGAAATGAGGATTTCTTTTTTCCTTTTTGATTGTTGTTGTCTGAGACATATCTTGCAGCGTAGCCCTGGCTAGCCTATGTAGACCAGGCTGTAGACCAGGCTGGCCTTGAACTCATAGAGATCCACCTGACTCTTCCCCCCTCTTATAAGTGCTAAGATGAAAGGCATGCGCTACCACACCCAGTCTTGAGGTGAGTTTTTAACAGCAAGAGAATTTCATGATGTGGCGGCTGCCACGAACACGTCACATTTTCTCTGCAGAGAGGGTCTTGGAGACTCAGCAGAGACATTCACCCTTCATCTGCACCCCCCCCCCCACACACACACACAGCCCTGGTTTCTCTCTGTCCAGCACCCTCTGTTATTCAGCGAGCGTCTCTTGTGGACAGACATTTCCAAACTCCCAACTTCACACCAGGAGAAGCCAGCCTTAGGATGCTCGGGAGTGTCACGGTTGAGAAGGACTTAGCCTGCCTTTTGGTTTCAGAACACATCTGGCTGTCTTTTCAGACATCATCCTCAGCAGTGTGGCCAGGAAGGTAATGCCATTCTGACTGAAATACGGTGAGTGCTGCCACATGGCCACCAGCTGAGGACCCGCCGGTGTTTCCAGCCCGGACTCAGAGGACTGGGGTCCAAATTTCAGCAAAGCCCCAAAATGAGGCTGCGCGGCTATCCGAGAGCGCGCACGCCCCTCCTCCAGCCTGCCCTTACCAGCCTGAGGAGTCTGGAACTTCACACACAGATTGGCTAGCTCTGGAAAGGGAGGGAGGGAGAGCAAAGAGAGTGGGTTGCCATGACGATGGCAGCCAATCAGCTATCTGCCCCTGTTAAGAGAGGGAAGAAGGGTAGTCTGGCCCGCCCTGCCTGTGAAAAAGGGTGGAGCGGAAGAAAGGATAGGATGAAAAGAGACAGGCCAGCAGTACCCAAGGCAGAAAACAGTGGTGGAGAAGGGAAGTTGGTGGAGAAAGGAGAAGAGTTGTTCCTTCTCTAGAATTGCCTAGCTATTGCTTGAGTGACAGACTATGAGGACCACTAGCGCGTGCGCACACACACACACACACACACACACACACAGCAGTCACTCTGCAAGGGACTTATTCATTTATAACAATGACACTTCAAGCAGAGCACCTGCTAGGGGGCAAGGCCCCCGACCTGAATTTTGAGGCACACAAAAGAGGAAGAGAGAGAGGTAAGCCAGGCAGGGCCACTGTTGGCAGGCTTGGGAGTCTTAGCGGATGGCTGAGTCCCACGGTTTCTTTGAGGTGATACAGAAGGATAAACAAGTGGAAAGGCACGACAACTCTGGGAAAATATACTAAGCCTCAAGCCCCCCAAAAAGCCAAGGTCACAAAAGGGATCAGCAAGGTCAGAGCTAGGAGGTTAGCAGGGGCAGACTGAGGCCAGGGACAGATGCAGAAGGCCAGGTGGAGGAGACTGTGCCATCTAACACCTTTCCAGCAGGTCGCAAAAGGCTGGCACCATCCTGCCAAGCCAGCTTCAGAGTGGGCCAGGGTGATATGACCAGCACTCAGATGTGGCTCCTGGAGCCCAGACCAGAGTTTCTGGGGCCCATGAGGTACACACCTGCACCATGGCCTCTGCGGCTGTACAGTAACAAGGACACTCAGCCCTCAGATCTCCACCTGCTGCCTGGCATTTACCACGGACAGCCAGGTAATTTATTTCTAATCAGGAATCCCGGGAAAGATGGCTCTTAGTGAAATTACTCACAGCCCTCGGTGTAGAAGAAGAATGGCCAGTCACCCCCGTCTGTATCTGGGGTAGTCCTGCTGAGAGACAACCTCTGGAGCGTCACAGAAACTCGAACCTCTTTTGACCCTCAGGAAATAGGAGCATAGCTTGACATGAGAATTCCATAAGTGCAAAAACCTTGTGTTCACCTGGCTTGGACCAATGCAATATCTAAAACCCCACATTGGAAATGGGTGGTCCTTTTCTTTCTTTGCTTATGTGGAGGCTGAGGGTTTCTTTGTGTAGACTTTGTGGGGCTGAATGTTGTCAGTGAGTTTCACAGTGGGAATAACAACATGCACATATGATGTCACTGTTAAATGTGAACGCTTGTCTCACTGCTCTGACTCACCAGCCCTTGTGACACTCGAAATTCTCTTCCAGCCAGCAGACACACAGATAAACTCGACTCATTCACCTTTAAGCTTCATGGGGTGGCGGGAGCCGTTGGTTTGTGCTGACTGTTGGACTTGTAAACCAAGTCATGAGAGCCGTTCGGGTTTATAACGAAAACAGATTGTGTTTATAAGAACTGCTTTTCACATGGAGGCTAAGACCCGTGTGTCACTGAGAACAGCACCTGGCACAGAGAACGGCCTCAGCAAGCGACAGCTCTTGGAGTGTCCTTACATGTAGAGCACACAAGTGAGTGCAGGTGTCCATGGAGGCTGGGAGAAAGTATTGGATCCCTTGAAGCTGGAGTTAAGGATGGTTGTAAACTGCCTGATGTGGGTCCTAGGAATCAAGCCATGATACTCTGTAACAGAAAAGTTCTTAACTGGTGAGCAATCTCTCCAACCCTTCATTGTAAATGTATTGAAACAGCTAAAGCTGATGAGCATTGTGCTACATGCCTGTAACTCCAGCTGTGATGGAGGAGGCTGAGATAGTAAGATGTTCGGCTTGAGGATGACCTGAGCTAAGTAGAGAGACTCTGTCTCAAAGCAAACAAACTAACCAATAAAATAAGTAAATAACAGCTTAAAGATACCAAGTGCAGCCAGGCGTGGTGGCACACACCTCTAATCCCAGCACTCAGGGAAGCAGAAGCAGGTGGATCACTGTGAGTTCAAGGCCAGCCTGGTCTACAAGGCTACACAGAGAAACCTTGTCTTAAAAAACAAAACGAAACAAAAACAAGCAAACAAACAAAAGAATCAAGCCCAGGTAAGAACGCAGAGACTAAATCACTCATGCATTGCTATTGGAAAAGTAAAACTATGCAACTGATTCAGAAAACAGTTTGGTTATTTCTTAAATAAACATATGTTAGCCAGAGGTTCAAGCAATGGCACTCTTGAACATTATTCCCAGAGGACGGAAAGTCATAGTCTTGCAAATATCTGTGTACAATATGCGTGGAAGTTTGCTGTCTGTTTTGTCACAGTGGAAATAAGATGTCTCTCAATAGGTGAATGAGGAAACTGTGACCTAGTCATCCTTTGGAATACTATTCAGCAATAAACATGAATAGACTATTGGTACAGCTTGAGTGGCTCTTTAGGGAATGATTCTGAGTGAGAGGAAAAAGCAACCTCAAAAGGTCACAAACTGTATGATTCCATTTATAAAACAGTCACAAAACGACAAGATTGTGGAAGTAGAAAAAAAGATTGGCAGGTAGGAATGGTGAGGGTGGAAAAAGAAATCTTTATGGATCCAGCAACTTTTCATCTTGATGGTGGTGATCATTTTGAAAGCTGACACAGATGGTAAATGGCAAGAATTGCACGTACACCCTAGAATGATGTCAGTTTCCTGGTTTTGACACGGTGCTGCCGAAACGTAAGTTGTAGTTATTGGAACTGAGGGCAGGCAAGGTGGACCTTCCTCTGCTTTATCTGAACATTCTTCTGAATCTGTGTCTCAGAATTTAAAGTTACTAAAAGAGATAGCAAAGGAGAGAAAAGGAAAG